TAAGTCACGAACATTATGTGCAAGAAATGGATGGTGGCTAGCAGTGGAATCCAAGGTGCACGTTTCGTTCTATCTGTGACTTTTCAGCTGGATGCACCTACATTTCAGAGTTGATACTCACTCTGGGACTTGAACATTTGGTTGACGAGTCCCGAATAGGACAAAACGTGCGTCCTGGATTCTACTGCTTGCCACCATCCATCTTTCCTTATTATATGAATTCATTTTATCGCATTAAATTCTGATTGACATTTTAATCGTTTTATTCATCAATTGAAATCTACCAACAAACACATGAATGAAACGATAAAGAGAGCGATGTATCTACCATTTTGAAGAAAGTTCTGCTCTTAAAATTATGATTCCAAAGTGATGCCACCGAGGAAATTGTAACTCAAAGGCTACGAAATATGGTTTAGAAAACATTTTCTATAGCCTAACTGAATGCTGTTTTTTCAAATTGTCCGATAATAAAAATCATCAATAAAGACACTGTCTGAATTCTCCACATCCACGTGTATTTACCTATTCAACTGTATTTATGGAGCCAGTTACATACGGCATACAATTTGGGAATTGTGTCATCACATAACAGAAGACCATCCGTCTTGGTTGAGCAAAGGATAGGTAAGGTAAGAAGTGACAAAGAGTTCTATTCTCGCTCGCTTGGTGGGCACAGGACATCAAGGTAAATTGAATTAAGCTTCTCAAGTTATCTGCCGCATTCCATCAAGGTTACCACATGGTTTACGAGTTCGTCTTTTGTATATTGATCAAGCTATCGCAATCCATGATCACAATCCAAAACTTTTTATCCAAAAGACGTTTGTACAAAAACTCTCTCTACTTTACCAAACGATGATTAAACATTTTCTTTGAAAAATATTCAAACCATTTTCTAATTTCTTCCGCTTTTGTATTTTTACATTGTCTCAACATCTTTCTCTTGATTCTTACATAACTGCTATAATACAGACCATTGACCGTTTTTTTTATATCATGCAATGTAGCAACAGTTTAACTTTTCAAATAATTTACTATGATTATTATAATTCTCTCTCTTCCAATTACTCAATATTATTTTATAATCCCTGTAACATATAATCATTATGCAATACAGCTACTCGGTAAGTGCTATTTGTTGCTATAACTCAATTATATATATATAGTCATTACGAGAAACTAATTGAAAACAATTTCTTCGCTCTATTCGTTCATTTTACCAAATAATCATTTTAATTAGTAACAAGAGACAGATTGGTAAATTGATAATGATTCGAAAAAAGTTGATATACAATGAATTAGCCCTTCATAGTTGAAGATTATGTTCAGCGTGTGCTGATGTACCTGATGTTTAGTTGTACAAGAAGGAAATTTTGATTTTAATATATTGTAACAATAAAGACTTATTTGATTTTCCCTGACAAATATTCTTCATTGGTGTGCACTGTTAATGAGTTCTCTGCTCACTGCACGCATATTATATATTGATTATTAAAACCCTGTCTAACATATACGAATATTCGTTAAGATGACCTGTCTAACATACTCCAGAAAATAAAAATTTGGTGATTATTCTTCCTTTAGTAATAAGGCTTTATATGTACTATTTAGCCCACTGTATGTATCAGCTGATTATTCCAAAAATGTATTATATACATCGGTTATCATGAATTACTAATGAACTAGTTACAGAAAAATTCGAAGTTATACTTTTACAGAATATGATATTTCATTATTATTATTAAGAGAAATGTAGGTAAATGAGAATGTAGTGGTACAAAAATGAAGCTTCTCAGACCACTAAGAAAGCATCCAATGATTCCACAGATCTAACTAATACAGGCACACTACTTGACTGCAGGTCTCTGGTAGATCCTCTGTGGGATCGTGAAGACTCACTTTTAAGGAGTCTCATAATAAGTCAAAGATGATGTTCAGCTCTTCCTCATTTACATTATTTATCTAACTATGGTTAGTTAATATTATAAACTACAAAATAATACTTTGATGTGAGAAAATGAATAGTGATTTAGTAGTCTCCTTTTTTCAACATACTATCTTGCTGTGTTTTACAAAATGTCCTATTGATTGAAGCGCATAGGATTTAAAGTTAATGATTTTTCATTTTTCGAACAACTGAAAAGTTGTTTTTAATAAATCTCAAAAAATGTTTTGATGTTTCATTTTACATTATCTTTAAAATGACAGATATTATTAAAATTTGGAAAATAGTAAAAAGTTGTTTCAAGAAAATATTTTCATTACTAATTAAACAGTTTTTAATAGTTGAGATCATGAGTCTATTGAAGCTAGACCACCATGGAAAACCTGGAAGCATTGGACGGCCATTCCGTCCTATTGTGGGACTCCTCAACAGTGCGCATCCACGATCCCGCCCCCGCGACATTCGAACACAGGACCTATTAGTCTCTTCCGCGAATGCTTAACCTCTGGACCACTGAGCCGGCATCCAACGATTTTATTGTCTAACTTAAACTAATCAACGAAATTGAGCGCCACTCACCACTGTCTTCAGTGACTTACTATCTCACAACAGACTCGGTTGAACTCCTTTGATCATGGCTTCTCACTAGAACTCCAGAAAATACTTATTAAATCCAGTCAATAGTGAGCATACGTTGGTTAATTTAAAAAAGGGAGTCCCACAATAGACCGAAACGGTCGTAAAATACTTTCAGGTTTTCCATGGTGATCTAGCTTCAATTGACTCATGATCTCAACTATTAAAATTACTATAATCTCTACAAAATCCATTATAATACTGATTAAACAGTTATGTAAATTTTTTACCACTTTCTTATCCAGCCTAGAGATACATCTGATGAACACTACATGTTATGTTTGTAATTCAAACTATAAATATTCCATGGGGAAGATCACTTAAAACTTTTAATTATCGTTATTATTCTATTCATTTATGCACTTGATCAAAGCTGAAAACAAAGTCTCATCTAACAATTGGACCCATCAAAACTTAAGCTAATAAACATTAAACTTTCTTATTTATAATATACAAGTTTAAACAAACCATATAAGACAGTTATTAACTAACTGCAAACATATGGAAGATATTTAAATTGATAAAGATTTTTTTAAACAGTTTTTTTTCTAAGAATACAGTCGTCATTCAGTATCAGATAAATTGGCATAATATATAAAGTTAAAATTTCTATACGAAAATCAATCTTTATATTTTTCTACACTGAAGCCTTAATCAGTAATATATTTGTCAAGTAAATTATAACTAGAGAACATAATAATAATAATAATAAATTCTAATCTAATAACTTGTTTTTTGATTATCATATGATTTGTTGATGCTTTATTCAGGGATCGATTATATTTCAAGTTTATCTAAATAAATTCTCAAGACAAAAATGTTTACATTTAGAATATTTGAGAAAAAAAGGAAAAAGAAAAGTTTAATGTTGACAACAAAATCTACAGGTCTTAAACTTAACCTTATGTTAGATTGTTACTATGGTTCAGTAAATAGTTTTGAACTACAATGAAACAGTTAACTGGTACTGTTTGACTTTGAATGATTATTTTTTACCTGTTGTTCGTACTTAGAGTAAAGTATATATAAGACAAAATAGTAATAGTATAGGATTTATGAAATGCAGTATGGCAGTATGTTTTAAGTTATACGATCGAACTGAAGTAGAATTACAGGGAACTGTTAGAAAAAAAAGTATAGCAATTATCAGTTTTAGGACCTGTAACTAGTGGCAAAATTATTTTTGCATTACTAAGTAAGTAGTATATCATTAATTAACATAAATCACTAAACATATGATATTAGGTAAAAGACAAATCCTTATAGTGGAGTTGTATGAATATTTAGTATATTTCTATTGTAGCGATTAATTGGATCCAAGACTCATGTTTCATTGAATTGAGGACCCACGAAGTCAGTGTAACTGTATCAAAGTGTTAATATTCATATTTTTGATCAAAAGTATTTTTCTGAACTCAAATTGTAGTGAAGGAGAATACAAGTGGGGACAGTCGAATGTATTTGAACACACAAATTACAGGACATCTTGGTAAAATTTGAGAACCATATAATAAATACTTCATTTGCAAAATGTCAGTCAATCGTCTAAGACTTCATTCTCTGTTCTCATTTCCTTTTCTTCGATCTTCTTGACCATCTGCCTCCAGGCATTTCACTTCCGATTGATGAGACATACTACTTATATCTATTGACATCAGTAGCATACAACACAAAATCAAATTACTACAATTCTATTTATTATTACATTCTAGAGTATTATATTAAATTTCACAGTACGTTTCTTTTCTTTTCAACCATCTATCTAACATTGAATTATTTGTTGGAATTGGTATAAATAATAAATAGATTTGATGGAATTTTATTCTCTGAGCTGGATGGTTTGGTTGTGGAGCTATCATCATGCTTCTGAACAACATCATCAGCACAAAATTCAGGTAAAAGTGAAGCGTTCGAATTTATCCTCATGTGGTTCACAGCTTGTCTTGTAGACCTCCAATTGGGGGATACAACCAAAATAAACAAGTAAACAATGACAAGTTTAAGATCAACAAGAATCAATCAACATCAAGTTCTACAGGACAAGCTGTGAACTATATGTGGAGAAATTTGAACACTTCATTTCGATCTGATGTCATTCAGAAGAACGATGAAAGTTCCATGATCAAACCACCCAGCTTAGAGAACAAAACTCCATCAAAATCATTCACCTGACTTTCTCCACCATCTTACCAATTAACAATCTTTAAAATGTCAAATTTCTAACAATATTCTCTTTCCACAAGTATACTGTTTTACTCATTTCTCTTTTTCATTTCTTACAAAAATGTAAAATTTTTTTTTGTATAGTAAGTTCATGAATGTCATAATATATAATTAATATTAGTTAGTGATATGTTTTAACATATTCAATGAAATAATAATTACAATATTATTTTCATTATTCTACAAAACTTACCAACATTATCTTTTATAATGACAAGTAAAATAATGTAAGTGAATAGTTTGAGTCCCTCTCGGTTTTTCATATTTTCTTCTTTATATAAAAAAAATTAATATACTGCAATAATGATAAATTATATACTAAATATTATCCTTCATAGAAAATAATTATTCCAAAATAAAAATGTTTAACTCTAATAATAACGGATATTCATTTATATATATTTTCGTATATGCATAGAAATATGTCATATTTTTTTTCTAATATATTTGTTGCTAGGCTACATGTAAAAATAGTATATCGAGTTGATAATCGAATGCTTATCATTTAATAAACAATTTAATAAAAATTATTGATCATTCAGCAGAAAACTTTACTACATAATAGTTCTAAGTACTTTTACAGTTTAGTTTTTTATTTTTTATTTAGAAACTTTTATTTGTTCATTGTTTTGTTTAAATGTTATGTCGATCAACATTTTTATTCTAGAAAAAAAAGAATAAGGGTTTTTAATTGCCAGTAAATGAGAAGACCCTCCTTTTTTTCCTTTTTAAAGTAAATAAATAATAAGATGAATACATAGAAAATATTGATAAGTATTGATATTATTTGATTATAGAAAAAAAAACTATTGTTAAGGTATACTTATGAAATTTATTTATTTGATTGTATCATTTCATATTATCCACGCAAGATCATCATCATCCTCATATTTTTTTTGTTTTTTTTCGGTACAAAATTAAATTATCAGAGTGTATGTAATCGATTAATTAGACAAATGTATGCAAATCTTAATAGTTTCATCCAAAAACAAAACATTATAAATCACGGGGTTTGGTCATTGTATATATTTTTTTAACTGTTCAAAAGAATGAATATATATATATATATATATATATATATATATAGTTCCATACGCTTATACTGTTCAACTCTTTGGGATATGTATATTTATATTCATTGAACTAAAGTAATTATTCATTATTGCTACATTTCATGCGATCAACAATAATGTACTGTAAATTCTGAGTGTAACTAGATATATACTTACATTTTGTTGCTAACGTAAATCAAAAGAACTAGGAGAATTAATTGTGCTTTTGAATAAAAAGAGGAGGGGTTAAAAAACGATAAGTATATGTTTAAAATAGTAAGAAAGACTTGTCCTCCCTTCCATTGATAGCAAAATCTTATTTATGTATAATCTGATACATAGTAATTAGTTAACCCATTTTTAAAACTTTTGGTACACTTTTTTGTAATGCATGCCATCAAGTGTGGTGGTCTATAATTAATAAATAACTGTGTAACGACTAGGTAAACAAAGTAGGTTATTTCTTTTAAATGGTAAAAGCAGTCACAAAATACTGAGAACAAAGATCGTTCGCTTGAATACTTAGTTAAGATGTTTTAAATAATTTATGCCTGTCTTGTTTGAATTTATTGTGAATTAGGCTGAAAACAGAACGGACATTAACTTGATTATATATATGGTGACATACCAATCAATAGAAAATTGTATTGCTGTTTTGTAACTTAGTGAAAGTCACTTCTTCAGAGCGAATTGAACATGATTAGTAATAGATAGTTTTCTGACATTTCAATATTTTAGCCTGTATGGGATAGAATTATTTATGAGAAAATTAATAAATAGGTGTATACAAGTTATAGAAATGAAATCAGAATTAATGCAACCAATTATTTATCCAGATTGATTATCATTTATCATCATATAAATAATATTTAATCAACATTATTTAAATTTGCCATCTTTATATAAATGTCATCCGTTTAAAATAAAGACATCCTCACTATATAATAACAGTTTTTACCAAAAGTTATTTATTCACATTTTACATCCTCACACATGTTTGCTTGTAAACTGTCAATAATACTAAAATGTTAATTTACAGGAACGTCCACTTTGACGTCATGAAGAAGCTATCACTAGCGAAGTATATTAGTGACATTAAATTATATTTATATAATATTATAAGTTACCTAAAACTTGAAAATACAGTTCAGAGGAATCTAACTCAGTAGACTAAAGGTATTATGATATGTGAGAGACCTGATGGTCATAGTTTTAATTCTGTCGATCATCATAGGTATAAGTTTCTGAGGAGTTTAAAACAAGCATAAAAATACTAAATATTGTCTGTTGATTCTTAATAATACTTTTAGTTGATGTCAGTTTGTGATATGACATAGCTTTAATTTTATACTGATTTTGTTGTGATAATATCATTGAGAACTCAATAGTTTACCATTGTTGAAAATTGAAAATCTGTTTTTCATTAACTGAAAGTTATTTTCATGATTATCGATTTTATAGTGAACTGAATGAACCTAAAGTTTTAACCTTTTGATAATTAAAGCAATAAGTCTCTATTCCTTGGTACTATGCACACTGAAAACATATTCCATACATTATTGTTGTCAACAAAAATAAACTTTCATCTAAAGTTGAATGGATAATTTCACAATAATTGAAGATCAAGCTGATAGAAAATAACTAAAAAAGAAAGTATTTTCGTAAAAAACTTAGCAGCTGATATTAAAAGAAATCCGACATTTTGCTTCTTGTCTGGTTCAACTTTTCTCAAGAGAAATAATCAAACATCAGAATAATCATAAGTAAATATATGTTCCACATATTAACCTTTTACTTTTCGATCATGTAACCGAAACGTCAGATTTACTTTAATTTCAACCAGTGAGGAAAGAAACGGAAAAGAAGAAAATCAAAGAGAATACTGTGTCCGGAATTGGAACCAGATATCAAAAGGATGAATAAGAATTGAAAACAACTGGAAAGGATTGTCTAGTATAGAGTCGGATGGAGAGTGCTAATGGGCGGCCTATGCTGTATCACGAAAGGTAGTAGGCGTAAGTACGTAAGTATCAATTTAATATTATGTTGATATGAAATTACTCATCTAACTTTAGATGAAGATTTCGGTAAAATTAGTGTTTTTTTCCAAAAACTTATAATACTTGTGAGACGCTTGGGGTACATGGAACATACAACTATTTGTATGGTATAAAAAATAATGACTATAACAGAAAAATTCAGTTCCTGAAGTTACATTGACTATTACTACTGCCATTAGTCTAGTGGTTTGTCTTTCATTTAAATAGTAAATTATGACTCTTTGAAAAATAAAAATAATGGTTGTGGAGATTATCAAGCTTATGATTGAAACCATGAACCGATTGATGTTAGACCACCATTAAAAACCTAGAAACACTTGACGGCCGTTTCGTCCTATTGTGGAACTCCTCAGCAGTGCGCATCCACGACCCCGCCCCACAAGATTCGAACCCACGGCCTTCAGTCTCGCGCGCGAACGCTTAACCTACTGGAACACTGAGTCAGCATCCGATGATGTTAATGTCTAACATTAAATAATCCACGAAATCGCGCGACCATCTTCCATTGTACTGAGGTAGACACCTGTTTCTACCCGACACGGATTAGCTCCATTGATCACGGCTTCTCACTAGAACTCTGAGAATTCCCTCACAAAGTTAGTCACTAGCGAGCACATGTTAATTATCAATATAAAGGTTGTGGAGATTATTAAGTTTTTTGATTGAGATCATGAACCGATTGATGTTAAACCACCGTTGAAAACCTAGAAGCGCTGGATGGCCGTTTCATCTTATTGCGGGATACCTCTGCATCAATCGGTTCATGATCTCAATCAAAAAATATTTATTGATTACAGTTTTCTAAAGTTTGTTATGTCTTTCATAGATAGACATTTCTTAAAAACAAAATGTAAGTTTCCCAACTTATTTAAACTTAAAACAATAATAATTGAATAAACAATTGCCTGTTTAAACTTTGTAAGAAATTGGATTACTGTGAAACGTTTCTTTCTTTTTTTTGAGGTTTTTGTTTATTATCCATGTTTTTGTTTACGTTATGAATATCATTTTTGTGAAAGAGAGTTGAAAAAGAAAATTAAAAAGAAAAAAAGAAAATAGAAATCACGTTTGTTTATACATTTTTCATCTTATTGATTTTATCATTTAATCTTAGTCTGTAAATTGATTTATGTACAAAAAGAAAAAGAAAATTTTAATCAATATTACGATCAATAAATGAAAAATTTTTTTATATTATTTTGAAAAAAATCACTATATAAGAAAAAAAATCAATTAATCAGTTTCAATTAAAGATTTATATTTTTTAGTTTAAATTATTTTAATTTTAAATCTTTTTCGAAGCGATTTCTAATTTTGATGATTACTTATCCTTCATTAAGGAGAATAGACTACTTATCAACATTTTTTTATGCCACTCTGTTCTAGACAAACCTTTCCAGTTGCTATTCATTCTTTTCATGTTTGCTTCCAGTTCCTGACGTAGTATGTTCTTTGGTTTTACACTTTTTCGTTTTATTTCAGGATTATTAGTTAGGGTTTGCTTCGTGAAACAGTCTGTTGATTTCTTTAATATATGTCCTATCCACTTCCAACATCTATTTCTAATTTCCTATTCAGTAGGAAGCTGGTTTATTCTCTTCTACAGTAGACTGATGCTAATCGTATTTAGCCAATGGATATTGAGTATCTTGAGTAAATAATTGTTTAATAATACTTATACCATTTTGATGATGATTATAGTAGATCTCCAATATTCAGCTCCATATAGCAGAGTTGTCTTGACGTTCACTTCGAAGATTCTGGCTTTGATATTGGTTGACAGTTGTTATAGCAATGTAGTTTTTGCTTTGATACCCCTTGCATTTACATCTGTATCAAATCCTCCATGTTCACCGATAATGCTGACTAGGTACATGAAAGTTTCCAACTTTCCCTGAGTTCTCATTTGACATCCCTTATTTTCCAGATTTTCTCCATCAAGTGTGATTGTGTTGGTGTTCTCCGTGTTTTATTTGAGGATTTTGTTTTTTCCTTTGTGTATGTTGAGACTGCAGCCACACTGACTTTTTTGACCTGCATTTGTTGATGTGTATGGGATAGAATGGTTAGGTCATCTGTGAAGTTCAAATCGTCTAGCTGCATCCAAGTTGCTCATTGTATTCGGTGTTTTCTCACAGATGTGGAGGTCTT